TGGGTGTGCACCCCTGGGTGCCAGAGGTTTCAGCTCACATGCACCACTGAGCCAGAGCCATTGTGGGAACTGGGGCACATGGGCACGTGTTAGCAAATGTCCCCTTTTCCACTGGGCTCTGCTTTCGGTTTTTCTTTTCGTTCTTCTTTTAAAAGAAGATCTTAAGGGAAATTGTACCTTAATTCCCAGAAGCACCCCAGAAGGTGGTGAAAAGGAGCCCCATAACTCCTTGTGAGACCCTTTCTACGTAAGGGTACAGCTACAAAACAGTCCAGGAGCAAAAATATCAAGGTAATACAAGTCCAGCCTGGCCATGCCTTTGGGGCCACAGCCTGGGAGCTGATACATCATCAGCCATTAAAAATCCTTCCAAACTGAGAGCCCTCCCAGCTGCAAATACCCCAAACATCAGCTGATCAGAGCCCACAGGTCTGTCACCACGCTTCAAGCCTGGCATGGACTACCAGGCTCATGTGGACACAGGAGACCTTTCAGATGACCTTTTTTTTCCTGAGAGCCTCCCACCCCAACAGCTCAATGCGATGCTTGAAGTCAGGCTGCATTTCCCATCTGCTGCGCTTATTTCCAGAAAGTCATTTTCTGGCTGCCAGTCTATGGGCCTGAAAAATTATCAATGCCAGCGAGAGGACAGCAGTCGCCTTGCACTGGCAAGCTGTGGAGGAAGATAGGGATGCAGACGTCACCCGGGATTGCAAGGAAACAGCAGAGCCACTGGAGGGAGTGGGCAGAAATCGGCCCCTGATGCCCCAAGCAGCCTTCTCTGCATCCCTGCACCCCCCAGGCAAACCCCCACTTTTACCAGGTATTTTTAAACTGGCTCAGGGATACGGCGACCAGCCCAGGGCTGACCACGCACCCTTTTCCCACCCCAGACCCCCATGCTAAACCTCTGCATCCAAGTGCCAAAAGGCTAAGTGAAGTTTTGGTGCTGCTGAGCAGGACGCTAGCACAGCACCTGGCCCGATGGAACAGAGCAGGACTGCCACCAGCTTTCCCGAGCGTGGCAGCGGGGCTGCTGGGCAGGAGATGACACAGGAGATGTCTGCTCCACTTGGCTGCTTTTCAGGGACTGCAAACCTTGACACATTTCTTCAGTGCCAGCACTCACCCTCTCACTGCAGCCCCTTTCTCGAGGCGTAACTCCAGAGCCAGCAGGTTTTGCTCGTGCTTGCCTCCCGCTCCAGGGGATTACCTGAATGCAGTCCAGCCTGTGCACGTGACTGTTGCAGAGATGGGGTTAAATGGAGTCTGGAAGCTCCTCTGTAGTCAGCTATCACAACCTTGGCCTCAGGCCACACCCTGACAGTTGTATTTGTACACAGTCCTAACAGGGTTTCATCAATATTTGCATAGCTGAGTACACGCTCTAAGTTACAGCTGAAATGCTCCTTTAGTGATTGTGCCAAGCCCCAGGGCAGGCGTAGTGTTTCCTCGAGCCGCGCCCATGACAGAAAGCAGGTGACCTGCTCAGGGGTTTCTGCTGTGGAAGGAGCACATGACTAAGGGCCCCACCAGTTCTGGGAAAAAAGGTAAAAAAGATCCAGTCCCTGCTGTGTGCCAAAGCTGAGAGTCTGGAAACACTCAGCACAACACTGCACAGGACAGCATACCAACACCTCTTGTTCTCAGTCCTACGTGGTGTTATTCCAGATGGTTCAACGTGCCGAGAACAGAGTTAGAGACAACAGAAGATCAGGCACTATCAGACCATCAGGTCTTAGAAAAGTTTGACAGTCACTGTATCCTTGGTTTAGCCCAGCCTACAGCCAGCCACCCATCAACTAGCAGTCCCTCAATGCTTTTGCACTGCTCAGAAAGTGCTAGTGGGGTCCTTGAATACCATATCAGCAGGAGACGTGCCAAAGTCCACAGAAACAAGTGCGGCTCATGCCTCGGTACCCACCTTACTGAGGCTCCACGACTTCCCCATGTCACTATACACAGCTACGGGTGGATCCCGCAGCTGCCCTGGGATGCGGCTGGGGCCCTTCCTGACTCCCAGAGACCCTACATGTTCTTGAGGAAGGTGAGACCACATTTGAGAACATGGCCAGAATGATTTCCAAAACAAAAATTAAAACAAACATGCAAAAAAATCAAAACAAATAAGCAAAAAAAGGAAATGCATGGAAGGATTCCTTGTTTTACCAAAATTCAAGGCATTCTCTTCAAAAATTTAGTTTTCCTGCAAAGGCTAACCGACATTGTTTGATCAACTTCACCACATGGAGGAGTTCATCTAAGAAACAGGAATTCAGGTAATACAAGCTCCAAGAGAAGACATCTGATGGAGGAGCTTTTCCTTTTTTGAATTATGTTTCTTTAATTACTTTCAGTTTCTCAAAACCACGGGTAATTGCCAATGTTTTCAAAATCTCAGATCCCTGAATCCCACTGGAACTGCTGTTGCTGCTGGAGTCTTATACCCACAGGGGGGAAAAAAAATTACCTTCTTGTAATTTGAGGTAGTCAGAGAGATTCAGAACACCATGTACCTCTTTGAAGAGCCAGTTATTCTTCTTATAGCATGTACTTGACAGGAATCACCTTAAGGAAGTCCAAGTAATAGCAGTACAAAAGAAAAAAGAAAAAGGATCTAAAGCATGATCAACAGGAAGATGTGTATTTAAGTGCCTGTGAAGTGCATTCACTGCAGTTCTCCAGCCAGGAAATTACACAAACAAAATGATGGTAGCACCAGTAAGAGAAGGCGTTTACGCATCTTCCCAGCTTCGCTCCTACATGCCAAATAACAAGTCCGAACCCATCACCCGCATCATTTTGAAGGAGAGTTCCCAATGATTTTTGCCGCTCTCCAACTGCTCGTCGACTGTGTGAAGAAGGAAGCAACAGTGCTATCTTTCTAACCAGCAAGTCGGAAACCTTCCAGCTCTGGGAGCCCGTTTCCACCCCCTCCTGCAGGCACTGTAGGGGGTGGTGGGGAGACGTCTCCTACTCGTGTGCGTGTAACTCCCATGTCTGTAAAACGGCCCTGACTCCAGATGAATGCACATGAAGACATGACTTCTGGCACACTCAGGTCTTCAGGCACATCTCAGCAGAAACAAGGAGAACTTACAGCAAAATCTAAAAAAAAATACTTAATATTTTTGGTCAAAGCATTGTCCTGCAGTCACATTGGGCTGATATTTTGCTATTAAAGTGGGATTTTCACATGCAAGAACTTGCCACGGTTTCCTTCCAAGCTTATGTCGGCTTGAATTTTCTTTTTCCCCTCTATCAGCTTGGCCACTAAGCCCAAAGTAATCAAATCTCTTGGTGCTCTTCGTTTGACAACACTCCTTGTCCACTGAGGAGGAAACCAGACATGCTGAGGGGGTAGGTATTTTGGAAATGCTGCACCAAGTGAATAGCTGGAAACACAAAGCAAAACACTGCTGTAATTCTGATGTGTGATGCACAAAGCCCTTTGCTTTGGGAGATATTTCAAAATAAAACACAGCGGCCAGTTTAACTCATAACTGTTTATTGTAAATCTCTCAAGAGTTTACACATCATTCATGGCAAAGTAACACTGTTAAAGCACCTGCTGGATGAAACACAGAATAAAGACAACTCTTTTATATCATATGGCATCATTTAAAAAACAAGAAACAGAACAAAAAAGAAACCATTTTAATTTTTTTTTTTCCAGTTCTATATCTTTCCTGAAAATATCTGGGCCTAAGTCTCAGTTATCTCGAGATCCCTGCCTTGCCCAAGGCGTGGGGCTGCACAGCTGGGAAACAGGCACTCCTTCTCCGAGGGGCAAGGCAGTGACCTTCTTTAGAAATGAAAATCACGCCCTCTATCTTCAAAAGTGCTCCAGTGCTGACAGTACAAAGCCTCTCTCCTGCACTGGCTAACATCTAACACAAAGGGCTATATGTCCCATTAATTCCACATGCCTTTTTTTTTAAATCTTTTTTCTTTTCTTTTTTTTTTTTTTTTTAAAACAAGGCAACTGTTAAAATTCAGAAGCTACATAACTGTCTTTATATTTTGCTCAGAAACCAATGGATGTTGCATGCAGCTGAAATATTAGTAGAGACTCTGACTTGGATAAAGGTCAGTTTTCTAAGACCTGCTAGTCAAAGGCAGAAAAAGAAATTAAGAGGCCTCTTGTGCAAAAGGAGCTAAAATATGCATGCATCGATGGCCATGACCGTTTAGAATATAACTTAGGTCTCCAAACATTGAAACTGAAGCTTTATTTGGCTTAAGACATGGTTGAGCTCTATACCTTTACAAATTACAATGTATATGCAACAACAAAGGAATCATCTCAACATAGCATCAGTTGGTATTTTGGCCTGTATAGGGACTAATCTTCAACACAAAAGCCTGCTCAGCAATAAATGGTTTTCATATTTAGCAAAGACAGCAGCACACTGGGCTGGCTAACAGGGCTAACAAAAAGAAGAAAGCAGGTTTTCAAACTAACATCTAACTAAATTTAGACCGACTTTTCCCCTTGGATATCCTGTTTTTCATCGGTTCTGTTACTGTCCTTTCCATTAGTCTGTAGTTGGAACAGCACATTGGGACCTGCCCCATTCCCTCTGAGAGATGCATCTCAAAAGCACAGTTGATTAATAGTAGAAACAAAAATCTCTCCTAACTGCACTTGGAAAGGATAGTTAATTCCTCCAACCTGCCAACGTTTACCATGGACAAGCAAATTACAATGTATTTCAGACATGAACTACAGTGACTAAAATCAAATCTCTCTCCTGTTTAACTATAACATTAAATAATATATAACATTTTTACACTTAATAGTCTGAAGTTTGGAGATAAGACAGCTAATAAGGAAAAAAAGCTGGGGCCGAATCTGTTCCTGAAGAATTAATTTGGCCCAACTGGTCTGAAAAAACTAATTTTACCCAGAGGAAAATAAATCCACCACAGGCACGTGGGTGTGTGTATACCCACCCACCCACATGTATGACAGCACTAGCACAGCAAAGCATTACTTTTCAAGCACTGCCATCTCCAGTCCTTTCCTTGCGAGCCTGGATCATCTCCTTCGGAGCCTGCTTGCGGTCAGTGACCAACCCCAACCAAAACATGAAGTCAATGAACCAGGTGGTGGGGTTGAACGTCAGGCCCAGCTCACTGGCTGAGTAGTCAAATGGGAAGGTGTGGTGGTAGTTGTGGAAACCCTCACCTGAAAAACAGAGAGGGAGTTTAAAGACCACATGGCCACCACGTTTATGAACTTAGGAATACGCTCGGGTGGGACATCCCAACGCCCGTTTCCCAAGTCCTGAACCCAGTGCAGGTTATGCTCCACCTCTGGCTATGGGAGACCTCTGGGGCAGACCCACAACGGACTCCATTTCCGTGCTTTGGGCTTTCCTCCCCAGTAGGAAGGGGGAATATCCTACCCCTTACGCTCAGGGAAGAAAACCATAAATCCTTCAAGAGGGGAGATGCACAACCAAGTAAGAAGCAGAGTCACTCACTTCTGCTGCGCTGCCCCCAGACAACTGCTGAGAAGAGAGGATTGCTACTGTGAACACGTCTCTGCCCAGAGACTACATGGCATTATTTCAATGTGGGCACCATCAGTAGAACAAGGGAGCCTTCCTCTAGGAGGCGCAAGCTCCAACCTTCTCCAAGCCCTGGCTCCAAGTGGTGTCCAGTTGCAGGTGCCCAAAGCCCCAACCAGGGTGAAACAGGTTGGGATGTCACTCTGAGTTGCAAAGCTATATCCAGGGCTACAGCACTTACCAATGGCTCCCAGAGTGACAAAGGTGTTCTGCCTGGGGTTGATGTACTTGTCGTAAGGGCGGTTGCCGTACATATGAGCGGCACTGTTGACCAGCCAGGTGACATTGAGGGAGATGGTGTACCGGAGGATGGAGGCAAGGAAGTACGCATTCCACAGACTCTCACCCCAGAGGTACCACGGCACAAAGGTAGGGATCACAAAGCACATCAGCACAACCGAACTCTTGTAATACCTTCCAGGAAAGAAAAGGACACCATTACCATGGTGGGAATGACATCTGGGGTGAAGTGGGGTTGGATCTCTTGAGACACGGCTCTGCCAGAAACCCCTGGCATAACCGGGACAGCACGGAACATTTCAGACATCCACAATCATGACATAATTTTTCCAAGTGCAATTCAAAATGCCAAGACAACTCGAAACCCTGAAGCAGCAGGTAACACTAGAGCTGAACAGCTGAGACCCAGTCCCAAAGCAAACCTCCCAAGTTGAGCACCTTTAAACCTGGGGAAGTGCAGAGTTGGCTGCACACCCTGCCCAGTCCTGGCTCTGGGACTGGAAAAGCCCGGGGCTTGGTGTGGCATTCGCGGAGCTGTGTCAGAAACATGTTCACTGCTAAGAGCTGGCAACTTCCCCCATGCTCAGGTCAGAAGGGAACCTGCAGCACAGGGCAGGAGCAGCTCCTTTCTATACCACTGCTGCTGCGTGAGCTCCAACAGTGGTGGCAGACCCAAAGCAGCTGCTGAGAGACCATGGGCACCCCGCCAAGGATGAGGAGAAAGATGCATCTTGGCCTGGGGGCCAGGATTACTGCTGCTCTCCCAGCCCACTGACTGGCACAAGCCCTGCCACTCCTCCATATATTGGACAAAATCAGTGTGCAGTGCAAAATGGGGAGGGAAGAAGCCAAACACTCTGAGAACAAACAGGAAAGCTTTATAGTACAGCTAAAGCCACATGCCCAGGCAAGGCAGGGAAGAGAGAGCATAGGATGGAGGGAGCAGAGAGGTGAAGAGCAGAGACCACAGCGGGAGAAACAAAGAGAAAAATCATGCTGGGGGAATTAATCCAAGGCAAGTGGAGAAAGGGAGCAGCTCAGTAAGAAGTGGGGAGACAAAGCCAAAAGTGAGATAGGAAATAAATGACTCTAAATGGAGAATGGGCTAACGGCGCTCAGAAATGGAGAGCAGCAAGACAGTGCAGCTTGGGAGCCACCTACAGTGTGTCCCCAGCTCGAGAGGAAACATGACCCCATCTTCCCCATTGAGCCCTTCCACCTCCCTGGAGCCCAGTTTTACTACAGCCCACAGTGATCCCGGGTATCATCATCAAAGCAAGCTGCCACATGAAACTAGAGCGGTAGGCTGAGGTGACAGGATTTTGAAGGGTGCAGAAAGAAAAGAAACGCAAAGTAAGACCCGTCTTATTTGTGCCCATATGACAGGTTTAAAACAGACCCCTGCTTTTGTTGAGTTTTCTGGAAGGGATGAGGAAGATCGGAGTTTGGATTTATTGAACAGTTATTAAAACTTTCAATTTGCTGAAAGTTTTTCAGATAGGAAGAACTGTCAATCTGGTTTGACAAAAACAAACAATCAAACAAAAAATTTTCAATTAAAACCCACAGAGGATTGGAAAAATGTTAATATTAGCAGTATTTTTGGAAGGAAGAAAGTTTCCATGAACATGGTTCTCATCTATAACACACCAGCTAGTTTTGATCATCTTGTGTATGAAATAAATTAATCTCTTGCCCTGCAAGTTCTTTGTTTGATATTTTTTGTTGTTATTTGGAGGTTGTGCCTCATATGCTGGGCTCCAGAAGGAGATCTGCAGCTCTCCAGCAACACCAACGATGGTGAAAAGAGAGCATCTCCTCAGCTTTCTCACAGAACTCTGTCTTCACTTACCTAAGCCAAGGCTCTCCAAAGGAAACAGTCCCCATTCTTTGCTCCACCAAAGATAACAGATAATTTCCCACTCATCTGACTGACTTCTGAACCAGCTTGTGGATCAGGTTTGCAAACCTCATCAATTCAAGGCCAGGATTTAAGTAGAACTGGAGGAGAAAAGTATTTTCCAGTCCAGAAAACTCCTTCAAAGTTCAAAGCCTCTCCCACTCCAGTAAAATAAAATAAAATATGAAAACAGCTTATCAGGCACCAATTAAAACCATTCTGTGAGATGCAAGAAGCCCAGACTGAAGTCTTTGATGAAGACATGAGATCTCACATCCGAACGAGCATCTGACTACGTTTTCTCTGTCTCCCTTTGACTGAAACATCCACCCTGGAATGAGAAGCCTCCTTATCTGGAGTTCAGGGGAACAAATGACTCCACACATGCTTGGGGAACAGCACTGCTTTCACCACATGAAAACTTTGTCATGAAGACACTTCACCTGTGAGCCTCTCTTTCACATCACATGCAGGATTATTGCTCCGATATTCACAGAGGGTAAATTTTGCTGTCAGTCACGCTTGGAGCAGTACTGTGATTTCAGCTGAAGTGATGTGGTTTTAAACTGATTGAGTGGTACCTCATCCACAGCTCACCAGCACCACTAAATTCAGCAAAGCTAACAATCCGGCCTTAAAACGAAACATGACAAAGAAGGGTTTATCATGATTCTTACTGATCTGACTTGCCAGGTTTTCCATGCTGTCAAAAAAACCAACACTTCAACCTTATAGAAAGAAAAAACCTGAATTTTTCTTCCCAGATAAGGGAAGGTAAACTCCAAAGTCCTAAATTCAAATCCAGAGCAGAGACATATGCAGAAAACATACTTCTTCACTACACAACATTTGCAGTATAACCAAAGCAGTAGAGCCTGCTTCTTGTGGGATGCTGTTGTCTTGGAAAAGGTAATAACACAACCAAGAGGAGCTGCAGCAAACTGCAAGGGAGCCTTTGCAAACAGGCACTTCCAACTGAGGAACCAGTAAAAGCAACAATACGTGGAGGGCAGTGAATTCCTCACTCCGGAGCTCTTTCGATGCAGGAGTAATTCTGCTAGTGCATGTATTTCTCCAATGCAAAAAAGAAACTGACTTCTGGACTCAACTGACTGCTCCCCTCACCCATAAAACACTCAGAAATGAGCTTATGTGGTTTGCCAAAGTACCTGGACCAAATGCTTGCAGGCAGAGACAGTCTTCTTGTGCCTAAAATACAGGTACTCACATAGAGGACAAAGCATGTTGCTCAATTCCCACCTCTTGCAGAGTGTGTAGCAAACTGAACTAGGCCTGTGCTAATTCTCAAGGGAGGTAATTAATCCTGTGACAGTCTTGGAAGAGGAAGCGCTTGGTCTCACTGGACCACAGGTGCCAAAGATGAGTTTGCAGAGTGAAATGTTCACTTCTCCATTAAGGCAGTTAGTGATTACAGCATTTGCTCCAATGATCAAAGGAGAAGGCCAAGATCCCAGCAACTTCTGCTGTGGATGTTTTCACAGCCAGTCCTGGCTTTTTGGAAAAGCAGAGGGACAAGGACAGGGCTCACTGCTTGTGCAGCAGAGCCTGCAAGGACAGTCAGCAAGCGTCAGCCACATGGCAATAGTGGAGGCCAGAGGGATGGCAGTCCTAATGCCAAAAGGTGGCAGGGGTATCTTGGGAGAGAAAAGGGAAAGATAAAAATAAGGAATGAGCCACAACTAGAAAACCAGGTGGAGGGACCTCTCCACCTCGCCTCGCACGAGGGCCCAGCGCTCCCACTTACTTTCTTTGGAACCTGACGACGGGGTCGTCCAGCAGGTCAGTGAAATCCAGTTTCCTCCCCTTCTCTATGACTTCCCGGTGCTTGCGCACGAATAGCCAGCCAATGTGGGAGAAGAAGAAGCCGCGGCGGGCGTTATGCGGGTCTGCGTCCGTCTCCGAGTACTTGTGGTGCACACGGTGGTCTCGGCTCCACTCGTAAATGTCATTCTGCACAGAAAGCATGGCAGGGTGAGACGAGAGAGGCCGGGTGCTGCCCCAGCAGTACCACCTCCAGCTCCTTCCCCACACAGTAACAGCAACAAGCCCCTCTCTGATGCTCCTCAGAAAAAGTTATCAGCTAAAGACATCCTGAAGGACCTCAGCTTTGCAGCCAGCCAGCCCATCACACTGCTTCTGTCAGTGCCCACACAGAAAAGAACATGCTCTGGGAACTGGCGACACAGATTGGACTCGTCCAAGGGCTGGAGATGGCTGGAAGCCAACAGCCTCTTGGGAGTTACCATCATCAGTCTGCCCTGGTCCCGTGTCCTCCCTGGGTGTTCGCTGTCCAAGGATGGACACTGGACTGCAGGGACCAGGTACATACATGTTTACATTGTTATTTTATGACCCTGTCACGGGGGAGCTTGCATGTTTATTTTCAGGGCACTACTGTGCAGAGGCACTCAGTTCTGGCACCCTTTTTCTAAGCTGGTTCCGGCTGGTTACCACTGACGCCCTCCAGGCACAAACGCAGTGCTGAAAATGGGACAGAGCTTGTGGAACACTACACATGCCTTTTCCTGACATGAACAGGAGCTGAACTTGCTCAGCCTTTTGGAGGGATGCGTCTTCCACAGTAAAACCAGCACCTCCATTTAAATTACTGCTCTGTCTGCAGGGATGTGTACAAGAGCACAGCCTTCCAGTACTTAAAAGGGGCGTACAGGAAAGATGGGGAGGGACTCTTTATCAGGGAGTGTAGTGATAGGACGAGGGGTAGTGGTTTTAAACTGAAAGAGGGTAGATTTAGATTAGGTATTGGGAAGAAATTCCTTATTGTGAGGGTGGTGAGACACTGGAACAGGTTGCCCAGAGAAGTTGTGGATGCCCCCTCCCTGGAAGCGTTTAAGGCCAGGTTGGATGAGGCTTTGAACAACCTGATCTATTCGAAGGTGTCCCTGCCCATGGCAGGGGGGTTGGAACTAGATGATCTTTAAGGTCCCTTCAAACCCAAACCATTCTATGATTAAGATATCAAAGGAGATGTGCCTGTTTCATGGGAAATCAAGTCTTGCATTTCCAGCCAGGCTGCAATAAAAGTCTCAGACGCATAACATCAGCTTAGCATTGGATCCAGATCAGATACAAAGCAAGTTCAATCCTGTCTCTGCTCAAGCTGTTAGGAGATACGGGTCACTGAAATACCTTATGTCTGTAAATGGGATTATGTGGATTGCAGGGACAAAGGGATGGACCGCAATTTCAGACTTGGATCCGTAAAGTAATCAGCCTCCCAGTTTGCTCTGCAGGATGCACTGGCTATTGGACTAAACTGGTGGTTTTTGCAGTGGTGCCCAGCTATTAGTGCAGGGCATTGTTAGCATGTACAACACTTGCAAAAGTCAGGCCACACACTCATCTATGAATTGAATTGCCCAACACCAGCACCAAAACATGGAAATATTAGTTAATGCCCAGATCCACTACAGTGTGAACTTTAATCAGAGAATGCTTAGCAGAGTCTGCTTTCCTCTGCTACTTCTATCTTTGCATAGCCAGGGAGGTACCCAAGCAGTAATACCCAAAGGAAGGAAGGGCTTGCGTTACTTTTAGGAACACCGGCAGCACCCACAACCACCAAGCACTGCAGCTTTGCTCCCAGCAGAACTGAGCAAACCATTTGCAGTGCCTATGAAGCAACCGCAGTGCGGCAGCCATCATGGCACTGAATGTACTGCAGGACACAGTAAGCCCAGGCTAATGACAACTGTGTATATCTGTGTTTTGTGAGACAAAAGCCCTATGCTGAAAGCATCACAGAAATCATTGCTCTTTCTCTCAGCTGCCAACATTTGAGAGAAAGCACTGAGGCCGCCCGTACTGCTGAGCGGACTCCAGGAACAACTGCAAAAAGCAGCTAAAGAATCCAGCTCAAATGCCTCCATGTCTGGCTGAAGGGGGAGCTCTGGCAGGG